TGTTTGAGTAATTAGTAGATGCTAGAGGCTTAATACTTTCTTAAAGCAAAGCTCTCTCTACTTTGACAATGTTCAAAAAGAACCTCTAACACATGTTCAATTTGCAAGGCACATGTCTTAACTTATAAGGCAAATATTTTATGTATATATTGCATTGTTAGCTTCTATCACAAGCTATACTTCTCATCTTATGGTTCTTTTGTTTTTTTTGGACAATATTAAGGAATAAATTTAGATTCTCTATAATATAAACACAATCCTTCTTGTTGACAATAAGTCTTTTCTTACTTAATAAGAAATTTAATATATATTACATCAATTTGTATATCTTCTAGTTTTAAATGTATATGTTGAGAAGACATTGATGTCGCCATTGAATTATAAAAATATTAAGGCCTATTTGTGTAATTCTTAAATTAAAATTCAAATAACCAATTTTCTTACTTCACACTAAAATCAATTGCTAAATTCAATGTTTGAAAATTAAGTTGAACATCAATATTTTTATCCCATATTATAATCTATAAAAAAAATTGGCTAATGAGAGCAACATCATTCTACTTAATATCAATTATAAGTTATTAAAATTGTGAAACATATAACATTATAGATTAATTGCCTTCTTATAAAATATGAATTTTATTGATTGTAACACAAATTACATCATGTTTTCTATATATAGATCAAAATTCTATCAAAAAGACTCCAAATTATTTAATATTGGATCTTTTTATTTAAGAAAAGATAAAAAGTAAGATAAAACAAAATTTGAAAGAAGTATTTCAAAAAACTTCAATTGTGATCGTCAAATTGGATAGCTTTGGAATTGAAGTTTAATTATCAATTATACTTTATTGATGAGTCTTCGAAATTTTAATCTTATACCATCAAATGTCTTGAATAAGACAACTCTTTGTTCTCTAATACTTAAAAGATGTTCTATTATAAAAGAAATATCATGATTTGATATAGATATTGAAGCAACTCCAATCATCTTTATATCTTTACTTTTTGCTAATCTTATTGCTCTTTGTGGTGGTAAAATGAGTTGATGTATTTTAAGCATTAATTTCTTCAATTATTCTTATATTTATGCCATTGTACTTTTCATTTTAATAAGTTTTGTCATGATAGTATAAAAGAAAAAAAGATATCTAATATTCTTCAAGATAAGTGGAATAAAAGACTTGAAAATAAAAAAATTACTAAGAATAAGGTAGATAATCTGCAACTTCTAATATATTGATGTCTTATGAAAAAAAGACAAAGCTATGATACTATAAGTGTATTCTTGTCAATCTATCAATGACAAGAATTTAAAGGAGATATATAAAAAAGTAAGATATGTATAAAAAGAAATGATAAAATGGTAGTAAATATATATATATATATATATATATATATATATTCAAAAAAAAATTGGAATAGCTATTGTCAAAGAGTATAAATTTAGAGACTTTTAAAATTAAATTAGAAGTAAAAAAAGAATTGACAAGAATGAGAAAGACCTCATTCTTGCTATGAGTCATCAAATTAACTTATTAGTTGTTTTAGGAATAAAATATGCATTTAAAATGCTTAAAACCATAATATGTGGTGGATAGTATAGAAATCTTTAGACAAATAGAAAATTAGAATGTTAATTGTAGAATTAGAGTCTTAGTAAGTCTTGGAGGTAATTATCTTAATTAGATTAGTATTTTTTATTTATTATTAAATATTAAAGATTATTTATTGAGGTTAAAATTTATATTGGCCTTATATTTATATGTATGATTTATAAGTAACTATGAATTTTAGTTAGTAGCTAGAAGAAGCATGAAAAAGAATCTCACGATTTTTTAATTATTTATATAAAAATTAAGATTTATAGTAAATTTAAATTAATTTTATTACTATAAAAAACCATTAAATTAAGAAATTATAGTCTTAAATTGATATTAGAATTATAGAATTATTATAAGAATTTTTAGAATTTATTTAGAATTTATTTAGGAATTTTAGAGCAATTTCTAAGACTTTGGTAAAAATGAGCTTTATCACTTCTAGAGCCATTATGAAGAAATGGAGCAAGAATTGAATGCTCCTCAAGTTTCCTAGGCTAATTGGATATTTTTAAATACTATGTAAAAGTCAAAAATGTAAAAATATTTCTTTTATTAATAGAAAATAAGAAGACAAGTAGCTAATGTAGTCCTTCTAAGAAAGGATGTGCACAAGTTCCATATGGATTGTAGCACCTTGAAGGTAGTTAGGAGAATAAGATCAAGGCCTCGTGGCCTCTTTTAAATACCCATATACACTACTTGTGAGTCTTCGTGAGGCTTGAACTCTTGATTTCTTAAGCAAATTATCTTTAAGGTAAAAGTTATTTACTTAATTTTTTATTTATTTACTTGTTATTTTTAAACCTTCATAACTTATTCATAATAACTCGGATTTACATGTTTCTTATACCATTGGAAAGACAAAATAAAAATATTTCTAAAAAAAATATCTTTCTAAAAAATTACTTTTATCTTTTATTTTTTATTGATTAAAAATTTAGTGAACAAACTGTGATTAGTTTTGTAATGTATAATTACTTGATTGCACTTATTTCACTTGTTTTTGTGTTTTGCTTCTTTTGTTTTTATTCTTGTTACTTCTACTGCACACCACCAATTACAAGCAATTTTTAATTGAGACCATCATGTAATTTGGATTGAGGAGTGAACTTTATACTCACACTTATCTATATATATATTATCTAATTAGGAGCTTTGTGGCAATGCTTTATAGGACCTCCAACACATATCCAACTTGTATGATACATGTCTAATTTGCAAGAGAAGTTTCTTATATAAATGCTACATAGTTAACTTATACCACAAGCTATCAATATATGTGATATATGGCTAACTTGTTGGCCAAGTTTCTAACATATTAATCAATTACAAACATATGTAAAGACAAAGTCTCATTTATAAAGCTTCTAAGAAGCTTGTCTACAAGATATTATCAAATTTATTTACTTTAACATACTTCTACCTACTCAAATTAACTAGGTACTCTTTGATATTAATATGTATGTTTAAAACATTAATATACAACAAAGGTGTGCGTAGACCATGGCAACCCCTCTCTTGGCATCAGAGGCTCTTTTCAAAGAAAATTTCTAAAGATTTGCTCAATTCAACCTTCTCTAGTCACATATTAGGATGGTCATCTTATGGACGTTGTAAAAGGTGAAAAACTATGTAGTCTTTAACTACATGTGGTGGCACTGTTACATATGGTGTGGCTTGGGATCTTTGACTATAGCTGGATCAAATAGTCAATAGTTTACAAACACCAAAAATCTGAAATAGCAACCAATGGAAAACTTGCAAGTCGGTTTGAAAAAATATGGTGTTGACATAGAGTTTTCTCATCCATGCTAGATGGCAACTCTTAATAAATGTTGTTGGAACCAATGGCGGGGTTTAGTTTCCAACCTCCATAGCTGAGCAACTGAGTGAGGTGGATGGATCTCGAGTAGAATAGATAGACTTCTCCGGCCATCCCTGGGCGAATTAGTTTGTGTATGAGATGTTAGCTTAACCATTGCCCGTAGTGTCTGTTGTGTCCGTCATCCTAGCCCAAGCCGCATGCGGTTGGGTCGATTGTAATTTATGTTTTCTATCGCAATGAAGATTTTCTTTCTTTCTTTCAAAAATAAAATAAAATAAAATCCAACTGATTGGGAAAGGACGCAAGAGTATGTTTGCCAGCAATGGCATGTACACGTGCACTTGCACTTTTTCAATGAAGAGGGGCCAATTACAATTGACAGCTGCGAAAATTCTTCGCTCTTAATCTAGGCTCAGCACAAGAAAACCTCTCTGGGATTCAGATTCGACAACCAATTCAATAGATCACACCTACTACTTCTTTAACTTTTGACTCTATTAAACGGTTTATAGCAAATTGTAGCTCCTTGTCAGAACAATCGGGAATCGGTGGCGGAGACGTCTTAGCTTAACATCCACCCCAACACTGTCTAATCCATCAGGACTAAAGAATGTTGCCATCAAGATTGAAGTTTGCGTCAAGTCCTGAAGTCAAAGCCAATGCATCCCCTTCAAGATCAAGGCGTGACGATGAACTGTCCCGAAATATAAATCTGTTGAAAACAGACAAGCCACATTCTAGCTATGATTAGCTCTGGTAGGCTCTCTGTAAGAATCAAACAAGAAACTGTTGGAGCTATGCAACATTCTACAAGCCTCAACCGTCGATAGAGACGGTACCTAAATGTGAGCAAAATGAACATCAAAAATCCACAAACAAATTGAGGACAGTCTCTATCACCATGACATTGCAGTTGAACATGAGTGAGTAATTCACACCTCAAAAGGCCGCAGAGCTCAAAGACCTTAGAATTCTCATCACAGGAGAGGTGACACCACCTCCATGTGAGATTTCATGTGATTCAATACAGCGAATTGATTTTGATTGTTTTGATCCAAATTTAGTCCTCTTCGGTTGAGTAAGCACACTGTTCATTTGCTCAGTGGCGAATCTGTAGGGTGAGGAGTATTACTGTCGGAAGGCATTGTTGTCACTTGTAGCAATCAGAAAGCGTTCCTTGCAGTTCAGTGTTAAAGGAATCCCAAGACAGTGATACACCACCTAGTACTCACAATGCTGCAGGGGCAACAAAAATTATCTCTGCAAATCGGCCTGCTTGAGTAAGTTCGCCAGTATTCACCATCACTTCCTCGACCTTACTATCATTGCCATTGCCCAATTTCATGACAATCCGATCCTATTCTACGACAGGATGTTCTAGCAGGACGGACGAGCCCAGTAAAGACTGAAATTAAGGACTCGCGGTCATCCGTACGTAAATGGTCTCCAGACCAGAATCTGTAAAATATCGTAATTACAACAACGTGATAGAACCCAACATCACAGTCAGGGCTAAACAGTAAACATTCAAGTCGACATGCCCACCATTGCACGCATCCGAAAAAAAATCAACTGAATTGCTCAACATATGCACTTAAATACTAACTTGATTGTTGTGATATTACAAGAAACTTGCCGAGGAAGTCAGCATATGCGAAAATAAATGCCACTGAGCGAATTCTGCTCCTATTCTACAACGCCTCAACTCCTCCCACACTTCTTCTCAGTCCTCTACATGTTCTCCTCCTGGTGGGTGAGGATGATGCAGTCGCTGGCTGGGTAAGCCACGCAGGTCAGCACGAAACCATCATCAATCTGAGAGTCATCCAAAAAACTCTGGTCACTCTGGTCAACCTCTCCGGCCTTGATTATACCGGCGCAAGAGGAGCAAGCTCCGGCACGGCAGGAGTAAGGCAGGTCCATTCCGGCCCTTTCAGCGGCATCCAGCACGTACTCCTCGTCAGAGCATTCGACGACATTTTCCGCTCCAGTCTCCCCGTCCAGGAAGGTGACCTTGTAGGTGGCCATGCAGGTAAGGCGGCCCATGCTCCTGCTCTTCAAACCGAAAGCCTTCGCCACGGACACCGACGAGGGGCGCACGTTGGCGACCTTGGAGACGGGGGCAATGGATGCCACAGGCACAATGCTGGTCATAGCTGCGGCGGCCATTGCGACGGGCGAGGAAGCAGATGCGAGACGAGCTAATCAATCAGCAAAGAAGGGGGAGGGGAATTGGGAGGGATGGGCGAAAAGGAATTGAGCGCTGGGTGACTAAATGAGGAGGAGAGGAGCAGAGTATGTAGCGATGGGAGGGGTGAGGCCGAAACAGAGCCACGGAGATGTGCGGCCAATGGGATCCTATGCAACCTCATCTGCATATCGCCTTCCCCCCCAACAACCCCCCACCCCCCCCCCCCACCTCCCGCCCTTCCCTTTCCCTGCGCTGGGCCTTCACATTGGCCGCCCTCCCTCTCCACCTCATCCCATCCTTCACGATGGCATTTCCTTGACACACGTATGGGTGATCATCATTCAAAACGTCGCTTTTCTCCTTCTTTTGCTTTTTCACTTTCTTGTTTTTCCTTTTCCTCTTACATTCTTTTTTTCCCAGTGTATTGCATGTGTAGAAATTAAAATTGTAATGTATCAGTTTTTGAAAATATGTATTCTTCAATTTTGTTGGTGAATTTTTCAGAATTTTAAAATTTGGACTAAAAATTAATGTATATGTATATAGGGACCTATTAAATTGATTACAGCATTTAGTAAATCAACCCACCCATCTTAACCATCAACAAAATATTATCCACTAATGGATTAGTAAATGATTGGGTCAATTTAACAATTCCTGACATATATATATATATATATATAAATGAATATGTATCTATTTACTTGTTACATTATATGTGGAATAAAATTAAAATTTTACAAATAGAATTATTAGTTTCTCTTAGAAAGTAATTTAGAAAAATAAACAAAAGATGTAAACAAATACTCTTATTGTTTTATTTTCTATATTTTACTTTTTACTTTAAGCAATAATAAAAACAACTAAAACTCACTTTATAAATAACTAGTATATATTTACTCTAAAGAAGAGATGTTATAAAATACTAAAGTTTTGCAAAGACACATGTTTTTTAATTGAAAAAACAAAGCTTTCAATCTTTTTTCCAACTTCAAGGCTTATAACAAAAGTGTGTTATGCTTTGGTGTTTTAGATATATTAATAAATAAGAGTTAGCTACAAGTTGTAGTTGAATATTATTATTTAATATATTTTTATTAGTTGATTAGTTAAGGACTAATGTAAAAAGAAGCTATGAAGGAATGTATGTGTATATGAATGTATGTATATTATGTGTATATGTAAAAGATATATATATATATATATATATATATATGTAGAGAGAGAGAGAGAGAGAGAGAGAGAAGAATAATTTTTGACAAGCCAATTATTTGTGAAAAAGATCAATGATTTTTCCTCAAATAAGTTTGCAATTCAACTCAAAAGCCATGACCTGATACAAGCAGTATTTAGATATTAAAGATTGTAGAAGTTTAAGTAGATTTACTTAGAATGTGCATGAGTTCAAAAAGAAACTTAACATCTTGTATTTCGTATAATATGTGTTGTAGGAGATTCTGTTTGAAGTTAACTCGAAGGAGCCATTGTCTTCAAAGAATAAATGTTTAATTCTCTCATCAAACTTTGTAAAATTTATGTTTATGGTCGATGAATTGTTGAATTTCTGGCTCAATTTATTAAGTATGATCATCATTGAATAAGTAAACATACAACACATTAAGTCCGTTTTTTGGCCAAAATCTCATGTTCATCATTACTTTATTATCTAAGATACAATATGGGTTCTTTTCAAACAATTGTTATAAAACCTGTTTAAATTTACAATTACTTCACCAACACTTAAATTTTTCTAGTTGAAATCCTCGAGAAGAGAAACATCATCTGCTCACCAGTAAGTTCAATTCCTCCCTTTCACAATCAGAGGTTGGTTTGGGTGGGTTCCATGAGGATGGCAAAAGAAAGCTATGGATGAGAACATTAGTCAATAAACCCCCCCCCCCCAAAAAAAAAAGCATAAGAAGTAAAAGTGGGGTGAATGTCCATTCGAATCACAGCTACCACACGTTGCAACCCTCCACAGTTGCGGTGGCGCCACCGAAACCACTGCATGAATGAAGACCATGGAAGCAGGACAGGCAGTGAGTGCGAGAGAGGGAGAGAGAGCAGGGATTGTGAGGCTCACATCACCCAGCGCGAGGAGAAGCTGAGGCAGAGAGTTCCTCCAGGCCTTTCAAGAGGGGATTGGGTTCGGGGACATGGGTCCCACCTTGTTCCCAGGCCAAGCCAGTAACAGCCCACCACCACCCGGCTTCTAATACTGTATGGAAGGTCTCCTTCACCGCTCTCAATGAATTTGCTGTAATCCAGAAGCTCTCCATACGCTCTCCACACGCTCTCCACATTCTTAGCCTCCTCGCCACTCGCTCTTCCTCATTCTCTCTCTCGCCGTCTTCGTTTCCCCTCTTGCGACTCCCCCACCCATCGCCATGGCCGCCGCAGCTATGACCAGCATTGTGCCTGTGGCATCCATTGCCCCCGTCTCCAAGGTCGCCAACGTGCGCCCCTCGTCGGTGTCCGTGGCGAAGGCTTTCGGTTTGAAGAGCAGGAGCATGGGCCGCCTTACCTGCATGGCCACCTACAAGGTCACCTTCCTGGACGGGGAGACTGGAGCGGAAAATGTCGTCGAATGCTCTGACGAGGAGTACGTGCTGGATGCCGCTGAAAGGGCCGGAATGGACCTGCCTTACTCCTGCCGTGCCGGAGCTTGCTCCTCTTGCGCCGGTATAATCAAGGCCGGAGAGGTTGACCAGAGTGACCAGAGTTTTTTGGATGACTCTCAGATTGATGATGGTTTCGTGCTGACCTGCGTGGCTTACCCAGTCAGCGACTGCACCATCCTCACCCACCAGGAGGAGAACATGTAGAGGACTCAGGGGTATGGTTTGAGGAGACGAGGCGTTGTAGAGTAATTACATTAATCACATTTTTGTTTTCTAACATCTTCATGGTGTAAGTGGACCCCCAATAAACCAAGTTTTGAATTGATGATTGACGAAGTCGTTGGTTTTTTGCTGTAGTGCTTAATCACCTAGGGTTATTGTGTATTCGAATGAATGTTTCTAGCCAGACTTGCGGTGTTATGGCTTTTGATCCGCTCGACCTAGAATGTTACTTCTACTTGGATTATCTTTATCAGAAAACAGATGCATGTGCACTCATTTCGTGGCTAGTTTATTTTGAGGTGTTCTTCAATTTACTTCCTATTAATGCAGGATTAATTTCACTCTCTACAGTATGTAGGAGAATAATTCATATCTTATTAATTAGAAATTTTATTTATGATACGCTGACTGGAAGTCCAGCCGGACTTAAAGTCTACCCAGGAGATATAGAATTCGGATTCCCTCGCACTTTGAAGTAGATTCGCATTCCCGAAACCAGGGTCAGGCACAGGAAATCTGTTATCAGTGCGTGGCTGTGTTCGCCATGGACATGTACAGGTTAGTATAAAATATAACAGCTGTACCTAGCTGTGGGAGATGCAAGATACGTTTTGGTAGGGGTTGCGCTAAGTGATCCAGTTCTGAGTTGTCTTTTCTATCCCATCACTACAGGGCAAGTCCTTGGGCACATAGGTTGGAAAACTTACTGTACCTTGTACATAATTGCAGATGACAGTGCAATCACCATGCAGAGGTTAGTGTTACTGCAGGAATGCATTTACAGTCGCACATGCAAGTGCCACCAGGTGTGTCGGATGTGCCTCAGCATCTAATTCTCCGTCGTTCAATTCCTAGGAGTGTGGTGGTATGTGTTAATCTATACTCTCACAGTAAAGCTGGTACAGTTGTAGTTGTCCAACTGTTGTAGATGAGTTGTCCAACGGTGGTAGATGAGTGTCTTGCGTTGGTGGAATCGGATCATTTTACCTGATTCTAGTAGCTCTATTGCCTGGCATAATGGTGACATATGGCGTTAAATCCGCATTGCTACAAAGTTCTTATGTGTACGTAATAAGTTCGCCTTTTTTGATCCTGCGGTTATATTTCATATTATGGATTGCCATAATATCGGGAACTAGTGGGGTTGTATGTCGAAAAATCTCCTTTCGGGACTATGGTCTTGCCCTGTTTTGGAATCATTAGGTTATCTCATCTACGCCATGCTAATGCAGGTGAAGATCTCCGGCAGATCTCGTACCTTTAACTCAATCAGAACTTGTATTTCGCTGATTGCAGTATCGCTGGCATTTTCTCATCTTGCACTGGGCACTCTCTGATTGATTCAAGCAGACGCCGTTTTGCAGGTTTCAGTCTAGACGATATTTTTTCTTCGTTTCTTTTGAATATTTGTTGGACTGTTGACATAGTCAGATCCATGAATAAGTAAGAACCTTCCAGAATAGCCGATACCCTGTCCATTTACTAAATTAATACCAGTACAGAATGCAGTGAAGATATGTCTGTGTTATGTACCTCTATAACAATTTCTTCGTGCCTCATGATGTTAAGGAGACAGCTAACAAGTTTCAACCATCAATTCCTTATCCTACTTTGCCACCCATTTACTCCCTCATTACGAATACGAATTTGGCGAGAAAGAGCAGCGTTTTGTGACAAGTTGTTGGAATCGTGATTATTCTCATGTCTGATGAAAACTTGTTGACAGTTGGGTGTAGTACTTTGGGCCTGTTGACAGTTCTTCACCAGGTCCCTGTGGGCATTCCTGGACGGAATATTATCCCGACTCTTAAATTGGACTTCGCTGTGTATTTGATATGGCAACCCCGTAGCTTTCAACTTCCTGTCCATCCTTCGAGTTTCCGTTTCGTTGTCTTTTTTTCCATGCATGAGTGAATTAAACCACTATGAAAACTGGGAAAAGATCTCGTATGGGAGGGAAAACCCAATATTTTTTTTCTGTTTCACGTTGAATTGCTCATGCGGGTAGTCTATCCGCTGTTTATGATCTACAATGCACAATGTTTTGTTGGTTAAATGGATCCCTTCACAACCTTGAAGAATAGCGTGAATGCTTCTTGCTATCGGAGGATCCAAGATCGTGGAGGGTGTTCATCATGAAATTGTTGCAGAAATGCACTGCCGGAGTTTTAGATAGGCATTTTAAAACTACTGACTGTGAGATTGTGGCCACCCTAGAAAACTACCTCTGGTTTTACACATGGCATCCTCACAAGAGCCACGGCGGTAAGTGGCTGTGTATGCTACACGATGTGCCAAGTGTGTGGTGTTGTCCAACGATGACTGGAAATGGCATCTATGCTGTAAGGGATCAAATCATAAAAACCATAGATCATAATATTAAACGATATTAGATGAAAAATCACAAAATGGGAAATGTACCAGTGATGATAGTAAAGAAACAATATATATATATGTATATATACAGTAATAAGAAGTCGTTTAAACTACACCTTAATGTTGTTAAAGCCATACCTTCATACTATGTGATGATTAATTTTGGGAGATAGTGAAAAAGGGATAGGGATAGGGAACAAGGCGCTAGGGTTGGGAAAAGGAGATGGTGGACATGGAATAAGGAATAAAAATGGAAATAGACAGAAATGACTATGAGAAGTAAATGCAGAATCGGGCTTTAACACCTCTCTTTCTCTCTCTTTATATATATATATATATATATACATATATATGTTTGTATATGAAAACAACAAAATATAATGTTAGTAAATAATATTTCACTACAATTTCCTCCCTGTATGTAGATACATTTATAGAAAATTTTATAATAATATGAAAGAATGCAAAATTTGTAACATTATAAACAAATTATATTGATTTTTACAAAATTTGTAATTTATTTTTTATTTGTAATAAGTTATCAATTAAATTATGTAATATGATTATTATTTGACTCATTTTTATTTTATAAAAATAGTCTTGGTAATTTTTTATTTATTAATACACATGAATCAAATACAAAGGTAAAATATTAATTTTACATTTAGAAAATTGAATATTTTGATTCAAAATCTACAATTAGAAAATACTCAATTTAAACTAAAACTAATAAATAAACTTAAATTAGTAATTAATAAAGTACTAAGTATTTAAAATAAAAAATGATTAATTATTTTTGCAACTATCTTGATATTTTAATATTCATGAGGATTTAATTCCATTTTATCTATATAAAGGTCATAAATCATGAAAAAACCAAAATTTTATGTACTCTTGTCTAACTAGAAAAGCATAAATAATCACTCAAAGTTGGTATAAAATTAAACTAGAGTGGCTTTTGCCAAGTATGAAAATATTAGAGACTTTTGAGACAAGATTAAGAATTCGAAAGACATTACTAAAAATAAAAAATGCTTCATTCTTGTCTCCATATATATTATATAACTAGAAGCTATATAACAATGTTTTTATAAAACCTTCAATATGTATTCAACCTATAAGACACATATCAAACTAATAAGATAAGTTTCTTATATGTATGTTATATGGCCAATTTGTATAAACAATATTAATATATACCACAAGGAGTGGTAGTCATATGTTAAAAATATCCAAAATGCAACAAATTGTGTTTGCTACATACTTTGATATTTGTTCCTTTTGAATGTAGTTGATAGGTCCTCTCAACTATTGATAGTGTTTTATACCAAGGCAACAAGATCACCTTGATATTTAATCATTGTTAATGCCTTTGTAATTTTCTTCAAATAAAACATTTACAATATTGTCAAATGCGGCTCTTACCTCTAATAATATCACTAAATATCAAAAGTCTCTTTTAAGGTTGTGATATCAAATATGTTGTATTTGACCATTTATTCAAAAAAATTCATATTGTTATTAAAGTTCTTCATCTCTATTATGTTATCTTGAAGTTTGTGACAATTGTAATGTCTTGCTTGGTAAGTTAGCAAATAATAGTTCTTGAGTTGAATTTGTTAGTTGTTAGTTCTCTATCTTCTTAATGCCACAAATACATAAAAATTATAGAAAAAATAGAAGGTAGAATATAATCATTTATAAACCTTATGTCTTTTATAGCAAAAATTTGTTGTTTATCATCTTGATTTTGATGGATGTTAGCAATGAAAAGCACCAATCTTCTTTGCTGTATTTGACATGTTCTTAGTTGGCTTCCATGTATATTCACTAATATCACATTCACATAAATGTATAAGATATTCTAACCTATTTTAGTGCCACCTTGAGTCTAAGTCTTCTTTGACATTAAATTCTTGATAATTATCTACTTCTATAAGATGTAGTGTTTGCCTTCTTTCCAATATATTTATTATTTTATATGGTTCAATAACAAATATATAGAATATTAGATGGATCTTATTAAACTTTAATAAATATGATCAATAAGCAACTTAAATAATTTATTTATAAATAACAAATGATTAAAGTCTACAATAATCCAATTTATAACAAGGTAAATAGATTTGATATTATGACAAAGTAATTATACCTTGTTGTAGAATTGAAGTTGTTCTTTGTGACAGGCATTTGTGTTGATTTTTTTTTATTCTTAAGTTTTTTAAAATTGTGCCTTTATTGTTGCATGTAGTTTTAATAAATAATTAGTAAAATCTTTGGCAACTAGATTATCAACTTTTAAGAAGTCAAAACTATCAAATCATGGATGATAATTATAATTTTTACAAAAAAATATTTATTGAAAAGAAAAATATATAATTATATTATAAACAAATTCTATTAATAAAAAAAATTTATTTAATCATCTCAATGATAGTTGATGGTATATTTCAAGTATTTTTCTAAAATTTGATTCATCTGCATTGTTTGTCTACTAGTTTAAGAATAGAAAGCCAAATATTTTTTTATCTATCTTCAATATTTTGAAAGGTTTCTAATAAATCTTGATAAATATTGAGTTCTTTTGTTTAATTCAATATCTTATGGCAATTCATAAAAAATATTATCAAAGAAAAGTTTAGATATTTTTTTAGTTGTAATAGATTTAATATATAGTACAAAATATATCATCTTAGTAAAACGATCTATTATCATAAATTAAGAATTATAACTTCAAA